GCTTCTCATCAGTCTTCCTTCCCCGTTGACCTTGGCTATGAATGTTCATTAGCCACAACCACCAGCTCTCAGGACCATGCCAGGGAAGCAGCACCCTTGCCATTAGCAGCAGAGAAGTTTCCAGAAGCCTGTCCTGTCTTCACAGTGGTTCCCAAAGGCTAGAGATCCCTTTCTCAGGGGACCTTAGGCGCGCCACTGAGATGCCAGTTGGGGCATCTCCCTGCTAGCTCCCTGGGAGCAAGGACCTGACATGCAAGGAGAAAGGAATCTAGTCAACAAGGACTAGTCAATGTCACTGCACCTAGTGGGGACTTCAGCACCAGTGGCGTGAAGGTGAACTACACCCAGATCACTAGCTCTGTGGATTCTGAGTCAAGGGTCACGAAAGTCTTAGATTGTAGCTCCTGAAGTCAGGGAATGAGAATGGCAATAGAGGGTCAAAAGACAAAATCTCCATCATGTGCCACTATAAGTGACACCTCTGTGTGTCTGTGTGTGTGTGTGGGGGGGGGGGAGGGCACTGAAGCCCTAGAGCCTACCCTGGGCTCTACTGCCAACTTACTAGGTCTTCAGTAAATGACGTTCTCCCACTAAGACCTATTTCTTCATCGGAAAACAAGAGCAGGGTGGCTAGCTTGACCCTGCAGCATGCCCAGCTCCAAAGGCTGTGAACTGGAGCTCACCTGAACACTCAAGATGTTGCCAAGGTGGCCAGCACTGAGCTTGGAGGATGCAGATCCATAGAAGTTCACTGTTTTAACCCCTTACCCCACTGCCCGCCACATACACTGTGTCCGGTTCTGTGTGTCTCCTTTTTCTTCACCAAGGAGTTCAGAGAGGGCCGACACAGGATGGAACGTGTGGGAGCATTTGCTGGGGTTCCTGGGCTCCTCCTGCCCCCAAATTAGACACCCCACCACCAGTTTCTTCACTAGGAGAGGGGGCAGGTATGGAGTTGATACAAATTGTGTTTCACTCTCCCCTTTCTGCGTGGCCGCATGGGGGAGAGGGAGGAGGACACAGCCCCCTTTGGAACTCTCTTGCTCCATCTCCTCCCTGCTCACTGTTCTTCACTTAGCACCTCTTAGAGCCCAGAAACATTCCTGCTGTGCACCTCTTAGCCACTTGGCAACTTTTTTCTCTTTTATGATATTTTGGGCTTCCGTTGCCCGCCAAGTCAAATCTAAAAAACAAAACAAAACAAAAAAAAAAAAACCCAAAAAACAAAAACCAACCCACCCTTCAAGTCAGCCCTGATCTAACTAACACTCCCTATTCCCATCTCCCTCTCAAGGGCAGGTCCTGGGGACCTACCCTTGGGGGACCTACCCACCTGCAGGCAGAGGACTCCTACCTGCTTTTTCATAGATCTTGCAAATGCAGTTACAGAAACTGCAAGGAAGAACTCTTGAATGTTCTTTGCCGTGCCATTCCGGGAGAATGGGCTCTGGATATTGGGTGCACTGACAAGGGCAGCAATGGCAGCGGTCTCTCCTTGACAGTTTGGAATCCTGAGAATGATCTCTCGGCCATCAGCAGGCAAATTGGGATGCATCAAGGCTCTCTGACTTTTCCCGTTCAGTGTAGGCCTTTGGGGCCTGGCACATAGTAGGCACTCATGGATAAATATTCATGGACTAGATGAATAAATCTGGTTACACTTCTCTTTTAAACAGGGAGAGGTTGGATTATAATAAGCTCATTGGAACCACAGGCTTCTCCTCATTCCAGTGCCTCCCTCTCTTCACAAATGCTGCTTTAGGAGGGGTGGGTCTGGTCAATGTCAAGACATGCAAATTGAGCAGGGCCAAGTCTCCCTGGTCCAAGGCTCCTGGGCAGCCTGGGCACACGCAATCCATTTGCAACAATTGTCTGTATGTCGATTTGCACAGTGCAGAGGTCTGGGACTTCTCTGACCCTGAGCTGGGATGAAATGGCCTGGAAAGCTGATGGACAGAAACAAAGGCAGACCCCAGGGCCAGTTGTCCTAACTCTGGAGCTCACCTTACACAGTTCTTCATAAGGACCGCCAGGGCATCCTCACCCCCATTCCTCCTTGGTAGAGCTTATCCTCAGACTTCATGTCTGCCTGACAACCTGGTCAAGGGTGCAGGTTTGTGTGGGTCTCTAACGCAAGACAGAGCCCGTGACTTTTCTACTCTGAGGGACCACGACAGGAGAAACTTCAGGGTGTTGACTTACATACCTGACCCCATGAACACCCAAAATGGGGCCTCAGGAGACAGGCAGACATTTCCACCAGAATATATGTGGCCGGTGCAACCGAGGTCACTTGGGGAGGTTGGATCTGCATTTCCCCAGCATCCTGAGTCAGAAGCCAAAGGGAGCCATGGTGGGATTTCAGAGCGTTCCTGTACAAGGGCCTAGCTGACGTCACAGTAGTGTCTCCCTCCAGGGACAAAAGTCTTAGGACTTCCTGTATGGGGGAGAGCTACAACTGGGGTGGGGAAAAGCAGAGGGTTACCAGAGAGACTAAGGTATGCCAGCACTTACTCTAATGCAGGGCCTTCTTGGTTGGCTGAGGAGACCGCTGTAGCTTGGGCCCTTGGCAGAACCTTGTGCAGAGAGGCTGGAGCCTGAGGATGTGTTCGTTCTTAACTCTGTGGGGGCTCATCATAAAAAAACCCTGTTTCTTTCTAACAAGGGCATTTTGTGGCAAAACAAGTTGAAAACAAAAACTTTGGGGCACTGAAGCTGTGCTGAGCTGTGGAGAAGTGCCTGGGCTCCCTGCGCCCCAGCTTCCTGGCACTGCCTCCCCGTGAACACACCTGGGGGAGGCCCCGGGAGGAGCCAGGCTGCAGCATGGGCCCCGGTGTGGGCCTGCCCGCAGGAAAGGCCCAGGCAGTCCTTGGCAGATGAGCAGGCTGCAGATCAATACTGGTGGAGAGGCAGCTTTGCTCCTTCCCGGCCTCCCCAGCTATTATTCATGCCAAAGGGCCTTGTTTGGACGAAGGAAAGGCGGGGTGGGAGTTGGCAGAATTACAGGTCTGCGCTCTGCCTGTAGCCGGCTCCCCCTCACCTGGATGCCCCCCCTTGTTTATGTAACGTAAGGAGGCGATTCAGAGGATGGCATGGGTGACTTGGGCAGGGGTCTCTGTTATCCCTTCACTGGCTCCTCTTGAGAAAGGGCACCATGGGCTCAGGATGTGCCCTGCCAGGGTCGCTCTTGCTCCCAGCTCACTATCTGGTCCTTTGCTCCCAGATCCCACCTGTCCTGCTTTTGCCACTTGCCTCTGGTAACCAGGCCCTGACTGGAGTCACAGGCTCCATAGTGGGAAGTTTGCCCCTGGCTGCCTCAGCTCCAGTCACACATCCATTTTCTGTCTGGGTTGGCCGCCCCCGGCCACCTTTAAACATTGTCCATCTTCGTGTGGTTCCTGCTGGTTCCAAGACCGTTATGGGGTCATTTGCCTCGTCACCTCCTTGGTGACAATGAGTACATGGACAGCCTGGCAGATGCCACTAGGCCGGGCCGGATGCATCCCAGGGGAGGGACAGAAACAAGAGTATTTATTTAAGCTCAGGGTCAGGTTTGAAATCAGCAGGTCACTGCATCGGGTGAAAGCAAGACAGAGGAGAGTTTCTTTCTCAGTAGGGGTTGGCTAACCACACACTCTTCCTTCCCACTGGAAAAATGGTTCGAGCTTGTCTTCTGCTGGGGTGTGGAGGTCCCTTGACAGGAGGTGAGCTGTCATGTGACTAACATGGACTCTCATCACCGGAGCCCGGAGGCCCTCCAGACCCAGGTATGGACACTGTTTCGACATCCACAGTGATCAAGGAGACGTGAACGAGGCCTGACGCCTCCTGGCTGGCTCATGACTCCTGCAGGACCATCTGGGGTTTGCCCGTTTAGGATGGGAGCGGGGGACCAGGGACAGGATGGAGAAAAGGTACTATTGTCCCTGGCCTTTGCCAGAGTACCCGGCCCTGAGACTGTGGTTTCCATAGTTACATAAACTAAACAGAGGGGTGATCAGATACAACAAGGGGACACGGCAGGACTTCTGGTTTCAGATGACCATGATTGGGCTCCGTCCTCTCTGGCCCCTTGAGGTCGCAGTCATGGAAAGGCCGATCAAGTCACCAATGGCATGTCAAAGAAAGGAGAAGGGAGGAGGCTGAGTCCCTGCACGGGGCTGCTCCTGTCACCCATTATCGAAGCAGGGGTTGTAATGAGCTTCAGTTGGCGACACAGAGTCCCGCAGCACACCTTTCTGTGCCAACCAGCCGGGCGCACACAGCTTTCTTTAAGCCTGTTTCCCCTTACTGCAGACCAGTCTCCCAAGCACACACTCAGCCGAAGGGGAAGGCAAGAGGCCCTTGGGCTGGGGACTCAGCCGCTCCTTTGAAAGCAGTGTGGGCCACAGACAACCCATGGTCCCTGGCTGTGGGCCTTCTCCTCCAGACACATTTTACCACCTCTTCTCCCGAGCATGGAGTGCCTGGGGAGGCTGCGGTTCACACCGAAGTGATGAGGAAATCGTCACTTGTGCTTAATTCCCAGCTACGTAGACAAACGACGATAAATATTTATGACGAGAAATTTCATTATTTAAAAATTCCCTTCTAAATTTCCAGCGAGCCCACTGAAGAATGCCTGCCGAACAGGTTGCAAATTAAGAACAATTATTTTTCTCTTCTGCATTTAAATATAACTTACAGCTGAAGTCATTTAAAGGGGCTAACATCAACCTTAATTAAATATTAAAGTGTGCCTGTACCTGCTGCTATTGCTGCCCCTTCGAATAAGATATAACCTATTTTTGACAAGTTTTCATCTTTCTCTGTGGAAGACACTACATGAAACCAAATAAGCGGCAAAGAGGAGTGTAATGAATAATCTATTTCATATTCCAGCGGTACCCAGGGCTCGGAGTGGAGAAGATTCAGTCAGATGATGGCAAGAGGCTGCTGGGTACCGCATGACACAGCTAATGTTTAAATAATAATAATAGAAAAAAGCGATAAACAAATCATTAGCCCTTAACAGTTGTTTAATGCAATTTGTTAATGAACGTAATGGCGGGGACCGATAATGAAAGACAATAAAACCGTCTAAACAGGCGCCAAGTCGCTGGCCATGCGCAATTATTTCCTTGTCAAGTTTTTATGATTTAATGAGCCCCTCTGGGACTGACGGCTGTCAGTCAGTCGTGACTTTTTGACACCATTACAACTTCAAATACAGCAGCAGGCAGGCTGTTTTCCTCGGATTTGAAATACTGAAATGATCTGACAGTTTTAAAGAAAAGATGTGCAGAGAGAGAGAGAGAGAGAGAGAGAGAGAGAGAAAGGCAGTGCTTGCCTCTTCCTTTCTTTCCCTCCTCCCTTCTTCCACGAGTTGATAATCTCTGGATGCTGTTTGGTAATGAAAACCCAATCACTGAGGTCATTATCTGATGAGGTTTTTGGAGCAGGCAGGCTTCCCCCCTCTTTATTTCTTTACTTAATGATAACCCTCAACGGGCATGCCCCGCATGGGACGGCCAGAGCCGCACAATTTTGTTCGCCATTAATTTCAGTCTTTGAAGCTCAGGGCTCAGAAGCAGTAGCAAAGCAAACCCCCCACCAAGCTGGTTCCAAAATAAGACAATCCAGCCTGCCTGAAACAGAATAGCAAATGGCCTCCCAGCCCAGGCCTGGCCACTGACGTCAGGCCCAGTGCATCTGCAGGCATCCGCCTTCAACACGGAACATTTAAAACTCTTTACAACTTAAGAGACTTTAATTAAATTGCTTTTGATTCTGGAGCGAGGTTGCATCCGCTTTATTTATACTGTCCCAGAAACTGTTTAGTCTGCATGAATTTTATATGGCGAGGGCTTCCTCCTCCTCTTCCTCCGTGCTGTCAGCCATCCTCCCCTACCTCCCACACACTCGGAAACAAAGGCTCCCAACTTCAGAAATATTCAACAACTGAAGTCTACAGAATAGGAACCTAGAACCTTCCACACACAGGCACCTGTTCCATGTTCACACACTCTTCCTGGCCTGGAGGGGGAGGGAGGGAGGGGAGTACAGCCCCAGCCCCAATTCTTCCCATGGCGCCAGGAGGACAGAGCTGGTCAGGATGTGATGGAGCTGCTGGGTCCAAGGTTGTATGTTCACAGGTTTCCACTCCCAAATCACTGGCAGCAGCAAAAGGGAACTTGGCAGAGAAAGCCAGTGAGAGGTGAACAGCAAATGCCTGCTTCTCGGGTCTTCTGCTTCTGCACGAACAAGGCAGGCTTCAGTGAAATGCTTCGGGGCCAGCAAGTGCCCGTGCTCGGCTCCACCCTGCTTGTTAGGTGGCCTTGGGAAGAAGGGGACTGGAAGGTGGGGGCAGGTGGGAAAGACAGCTTAGAACTCGGAATACCCTTAACTGAGGAACCCCATTTCTGGAGGCCACCAGAGCCATCGGTCTACTTCACCAGCATCAGCAGAGACTGGTGGGTTGTCTCCGTGCTTTTAATGGGTTCTTTCTTACATTTAGGCTGCCCAGAATTCAGTGATCAGAATCAAAGTTTCTTGATTCTGAGCTGGTCCCTTTAGCTGGCAGAAGAGTCAGCACAGCTTCCGGCCCTTCTCCACGGCTGTACCACTTTGGTCGCCCAAAATCCCACCCTTCCGACACAGACACTACACCTTTATTTACACAATAATAAATGATGTATCTGAACACATACAGGCCCCAGCCTGTTTACACAAGCACAATTTCTCTGGTGGATTTTGTATTTCCTGTCTACTCTATAATGGTTCTCTTTGGAGTATGAGTGTGTGTGTGTGTGTGTGTGTGTGTGTGTGTGTGTGGTGGGAGATCAAATATAGTATGATCTTGCTCCATGAGTATAGGTGGTTAGCATCTTTTATGAAAAGACTTGCTTTTCAAAAATTCAAAGCTTCCAATTATATTAAAAACAATAGTACAGACCTGTAAATGCCTATGAAGTCTTAAGAAAAACACATTTTGCTCATGACTGGAGGGAAAACGACCTCAGCTTGGGCAACATTTAGGCCTGATCACAAATGGACTCACAATTCCCATTACCTCAGGCAGAAAGAGAGGGAAGAAAGTCACGGAGTGTGACAGAGGTCTGAATGTAGAGAGAACCCAGGAGGGCTTTGCTGATGGTCGTTGGGAAAACCCGAGCAGTTCGACACTGCGGGAGGAGGTGAGGGGACACTTCCCACCAAGGTCTGCCTAGTGGACTGTCCTACAGCGCTCTCCCATTTCATCACCACAGGCTAAATGCCCACAGCGGAGGAGTCCTGCTCACGCTCTCTGAAATCCTCATGCTGGATGGGAGGTGGACAGAACCTTCTCAGACCATCTGCATGAACGAGGGAGGATGGCCGCTGACTGAGCACATATTAAAGCAGAGAAGATACAGAAATGCTTACACAGGCAGGGAAGAGGAGGTCACAATTAAATACTGTGCCAGTTCTCACATTGCCGGCAGAGTCTGGAAACTATGGCATTTGGGGAAGGTGAGTAAATATTCTTCCTTGTGAATACACACACACACACACACACACACACACACACACGTATACGCACACACACATACTAAAAAGCTACGGAAAGTGCTAAGTCAATTTCTTGTGCAACTGACAGTGAATCTTCTTCTTTGCAATAAAGTTGTCTGGGCAAGATGGCTGTGCGCACTATGCCAGGAAGGATGGGGCTGACCTCTGGAACTGATCACGGGCGCTGGCCTCTGATTTTTCTGGCATGTTATCCATGGACATCACAGAAACCTTTCTGGTAAAGAGAGGTACGTGACACAAAGAGGCTTCTGTGCCTGAGTCATCATGTCCTCTCTCCAGCCATGACCCCAGGCATGTCCACAAGGCAAGGAAGAATGTCACCAAAGCTATTTTGGACAGCAGATGAAGTTACCTAAAGGCAAATAAGTATTCACCTTTACCTATTAAAAAACCCGACAAATCTGGGCAAAGACCAACCTCAGAAAGGAAATCAACCCACATGCAGATGGGGACAGAAACATCTTTACACTCTCTGTGCTCCAGCTCAACAGTGGCAAGGGAGGGACAGAGGGTCACCCGGGGCCTGTCAACACAACAGAATGATTCATGTGACCGTTTTGTCTTAATTACTCCGAACAAGACAAGATCACTGTTTATCAAGGGAGAGCAGATGCATCAGTGCCCTTTGACAAAGAAAGTGATGGCGGTCAGGATGGTGATGACCACGATGATCCCCAAGATGACGAGCAGGATGCGGTTCTGGATGATTCTGTGGGAAAGAGAGAAGAAAAATGCACACGGATAAATGAACAGCATTTTGACAAATACTGCCCAAGCCAAGCTGGCTGAAGAACTACAGCCTGGCAGGTACACACACACACACACACACACACACACACACACACACACACAGAGCTTCCAGGTCTATGAACAACTTCCACATAGAATGCTTGCCCAAAGTGAAGGGGAACCAAGGGCTTTCCAACATTTGGGCATCACGTAGCCTCTTTAAGTGATCAAGGGCCCTATGCGAGCATCTCTTCCTAATTTAGCATGTCAGACAAACCTCACTTTTTTTCCTCCAGTGTTTCCCGTGAAACGAAAAGACTCCAAAGAAATATATGTCAGTGAGGTACTTACCTGAACAAAAATACCTCAGGAAAAGTGAGAGACTTAGCAGGGAGAGGAGAGGATTAAGAAGCAAGTGTCAAACTTGCAGCTTAGGTTGTGAAGCCGTCACCTGTCAGTGTGGCTCATGGCTTCGTCAGGCTAGGAGGAAACGTTACATATGCTCCCTGGAGTCAAAGGATGGAAATGAGAGTAACGGAAAGTCCTCTAGGTGCCTGGCAAGTGGCTGTGGGTGGGCCCTCTGGGGGATGCTGGTCCCTTGGTCGAGCCCAGCTCTGCCGATGCTGACCTCAGAAAGACAAGCAGAGGAGACGCGTGCTCCGGATGCCTGCAGCGCGCTTCCGCTGAAGTGATTTCATAATTTGTTACCTCATTCTGAGAAAAGAGGTCGCACACCACAATGCTTTGTTGAACCGTTCAAAGGGAACCTGGGTCACACAGCCTCGCCCACGCTCGCTGCTCTCACAGAGCGCACCGAAATAGAAACTCAGAGAGGCTGGCCGTCTAGCTGGCTGCCCACCCGGCTTCCAGCCTGCAGCAATTCCACCCCACCTGCTCAGAGGCCCATGCGGAGTCCTGTCCTCACATGCACACGGGGCCCCTGGACAGGGCCTTCCCCGGGGAGGGGCGTGTGAGGATGAGTCAGGCCTCCACTGAGCAGGGTCCCTGCGACTGGGATGGAGGATGACTTCAGGTTGCGGTTTGGGTGGCATACTCCTCACCCACCCTTCCCTCTTCACAGATGGGTGGGCACCATCCCATTAGAGTGACTCCCCTGTGTCCCCTAACAGGATAGCCCCCTGTCTTCCTGACAGGTTACAAAATGACGGCCATTTGCTGACACGTCTTCCGCAAAGCTGCTTTAGTGTCCACGTCCACTGTTCTCGCGGGAGATGAATGGTGTGCCCTGTCCTCATTCATCACACGAGGCTCGGGGAAGATCCATCTTGTTTATTTCTTCTTGTCCCACCAGAAAGCCTGTACCCCACATTAATTCTTCTGTGATGACAGCTAATTCAGACTCAACAGGCCCTATTTACCCAGGAGGCAGGACGGAGTCTCTGTCCCACCCCACAAGCAAACAAGAAGGACGCACAGCTTTCTAAAGTGCGGCTAATTAGAAACACGGACTGGTACTACTTAGGCTTCATTTAAAACTCAGTTGGTTTTTCTCCTTTTCCCTGGAAGGGAGGAGGCAGGTCCTCAGAATGGCCCCCACAGCTCTGTTTGCTGAAGTCACTGTTCAGATCTCTAGTTACCACGGTCACCCACGTCAGATTTACAAAGGAAATCGGCAAAACTGAATCTCGGCAGTAACACACATTCAAAGCATGAAAACATAGCCAATTCTGCTGTGGGTAACCTGTGGTAATGCATCTCTTGTACAGCGTGGGCTGGGTGGCAGTGCGTCTCTTGTACAGCTTGGGTGACAGCTGTCTGTCTCTGTGGGATGAGAGCCCCAAGCATCCAAGATGGACACAGAGGAAGTGTCCCTATGGGGTTACTGGTTTTATCTGGAAAATGTTAACAAAATAAACCACAGGCATCTCCAAGTCTTAGCTGTTCTTAACTAGGCTTTCCCTGTGCCCACGGGTGTCCCTGACACCAGCTCTCCACTGCTCTGGTGAGTCTGCCTTGTGACCTATGCCCACGGGTGTCCCTGACACCAGCTGTCCGCTGCTCTGGTGCGTCTGCCTGTACAGAGTATGTAGAATTCACCTCTAGAGCTTGTGGCTAGAGCTTGGGAGCAGGACAGAGAACTAACTCTCTCAGGAATGTAATGACAGATTGTGGCCCTTGGGGACTGTAATCATCCCCTTCTAAGGAGGATGTAGGAGATATCTGGGCAAATTCAGCTGACAGGAAAATGTCAGGGTAGGAAAGGATGAAGGTGAAGGTTGAAGCGGGCCCCTAAAGATGGAGCTATCACAGGGCCCTCTCAGACAGCTGGAGGAAGGACTGGTCATCCAGGCTCATGGGTGAGCACTGGTGGAAGACACCGGTGCTTCTACAGAAAGGGCTGCCAGACATTTGAGACAAAGAGAGCAGAGGGTAGAGGGCCGCGTGTCAGCCCGACAGGCAGGGCCATCAACTCAGCTTCAGGCTGCAAAGGACTCGGGCAAATATGGTTTTCTAGGAAGAGAAAATGATGCACCTGAGTGCACAGGACTGAGCCGGCAGGGAGACGGGGAGAGGCTGGCAGTGGCAGACTCTAGCTATGAAGAACCCTGGAGAAGAGTTCCTGGCCGTTGCTGCTGGGCAATCCCTATTGCTCTGGCCAGCGGAGCTAGGTGCAGGGTTGTGGAGCTGGGAGGAGTCAGAAAAGTCAACGAGGTCAAGGAGCGCTGCTAGCTAGCAAGCCAGGAAAGAAGTTTGGGGGCAGCCCCAATAACTTGCTCTTAACTCTGGGTAAGGGGCCTTGATGTTCCAGCAGGCCAGGAGCAAGCAGTCTTAATCTCCCTTTTGAAAATGCAAAGTGTGTTTACCCAGTAAATAATTTAAGAAAGAGTATACACTTGAAAGACGCCTACTGAAGCAGCCAGGCTAAATCGCCTCTGGGCAGAAACCCGGATTTGCATGCTGCATTCACCGAGTGAGCAGACTGTGGCTTTAAAAGAATGCAGAGGCAAATTAAAAGGAATGTGGGCTCGAAACATCAAAAATTCTCCAAGTTTACATTATGAATCACAGTGCTGTTGATATAAGATGAATTAACCATTTACTTTGAGGTTAAACTCACACAGTATTATTGAAAATGCTGATCCCTGTGTGGAACCCAGGGAGCGGTTAATCTTCCATTGCCAGTCTCCTCCCCTTCTGGAAAAGGCTCTGGTGTGTGGCATGCAGAATCATAGAAGGCTGGTGCAAGTGAAGGAGGCAGGCAGCCACCTGATCAGAGTGAGGGGGCGTAGAGACTGCACTGTAGCTGGCTCTCCCCATGGCTCTTCTTTAGATGCTTGCGTCCTCCTCTGCATCCAGCACCTGTCACCCTGACCTGGTCCTTGGTGCTGTGTATTAGCATGGGATTTGCTTTGGCCACTGGAATTCATGAAAAAAAAAAAAAAAGGCAGCAAGCTGTTGCTCCCACGAAAAAGAAACTGACTTTCAGCATTCCATCCTCTAGCGGGATGGACTCCTGTCTCACTGTTTTGATGGACAGCCAGAGTATTCCAGAGATGGCAGTGACAGGACATAGGACCTGCACCCCAGGGCTATCATCCAGAGGATCACTGCCCGTGGCCTCTCCTGGATTCTAAGGTGATGAGGTCTGGGGATTGCCTGTTACTTCAGCATAACTACTGCCTTCTCAGTCAAGGAAGGGGCCGCCCAAGCACACTAAAGTTTGGAGCGCATACATCCTGGAAGTCAGGGTTGGACGACAGCTCATAATTCCTCCCTTGAAGATTAACTTTGGTCTCTTTATCTTGAAAAGTTGTTTTTTTTTAAAAAATAAAGTTTAAATAAATAGAATTTAAAATTAATTTCTCTCTCTCTCTCTCTCTCTCTCTCTCTCTCTCTCTCTCTCTCTGTCCATGTGGAGGTTAGAGGACAACATAGAGGAGAGGGTTCTTTCCTTCCAGACCTCAGCTCAGCAGGTCTGGCAGCGCTGTCACCCGCTCAGTCCTCTTGCCAGTTTAGAGCCGGACTCTTTCTGCGTCCAATTGACCAGAAGCTTCTCACTGAAAACCAGGAGCTTCTTCAGTTGGGCCAAGGCTGCTGAGAGCTCCTGGGCAACGGTGTCCTTATGTGCTCTCCTCCGCAAACTGCTTAGGCCACTCTGCATCCCGAGAGTCACAGGTAAGGACTGCAGCCACGCCTCATGCCATCCTTGGCTCCACAGGTAGAGCCAGCCCAGCAGAGGGAATCTCCGCCATTGCTGTGAAGACTAGTCACCCAGACAGCTTAGGATGCTGATGTCAGGCCTCGATCTGTGGCAGCCATTTTATTTTCATGAGGAAGTCAGCTGAAGAAACAAGCTGGCCCATGAAAGGGAGACAACCAGGACCCCACCCTGAAGGTAAGATAAACTTCTATAGCAAGCCACCCTTCCTTTGAACTTTGAGTAATATGAAAAAATAAATTAACTTCATTTTTCAAGATTGTTTGATTTGGGTCTTCTATTATTCGTAACCAAAAGGCACATTAGGTTGAGTCACTGCTCCACACCAAGTCTTTGATCCGGGGCACCTTCTAATAAGGGCTTCCGGCCCGTGCAGTCTCCAGCTTGGATTTCCCTGTGCTTTGCTTCCCACATCGCTAGCCACACAGGCATCTGCCTTTCTGTCTCTGTGAAGTTTTCTCTGGTAAAAAGTGGCCCTTCCGCAGCTTGAATCTCTTTCATCTTCTGTATCCCTCTGACACAGAGCTTGGCAGAGATGTTTGGGGGGGGGGGGGGGGGAGCTTGAGCAGGGTGTGGCAATACAGGCGCACAAAGTTCTAGCTACTTGTGAAGCGGGGTGTGTGTGTGTGTGTGTGTGTGTGTGTGTGTGTCATGTGAGCCTAGGAGACTGAGAATTGAGGCCATCCGGGAGACGTACTGTGACCCCTAAGGGTTTCTTGCACACAAGCACAATGTAAGGATCAGCTACTGGCCACTGTCAGGTAGGGATGCCCGCAGTGCCTCACCTGCTGGGGTGCATG